TCCTTTATCCTAATCAAAGCACCCGCTGAAGCTCACAGACTGTTGTGAATCAACACCATACTGGCTGAGAGCTGCCCAAGGACTATAGATGATCATAGACATTTAAAAATGTCTCCCACTGTCAAAGGCAGCCAGTGGCACTTTTATCTGTAGCAGCTGACAAAGACTTGGAATCTTTAACAGCTGCCTCTTTATGTGTTTTCCAAGACCAGTTAAGGCCAAAGTGAGAGGCCAAATGTACTGGATTCCATTTAGGATATCAATAGGACAGTACTGAGCAGAATGGAATGCAGGAACTGTGAGCCCCATCTGGTTAATAATGGCATAACAAGATGACGATAATGAAGTCCCTTCTCTCTATGGCACAAAGCTCTTGTATAATTGTACAGACCATGTGCAGCATGATCTCTCGTGCGTGCGTGAGAGAGAGTGAGAGAGTGAAAAAGTGAGTGAGTGACTGAATGTGTTTGTGGATGTATGTGTGTGTAAGTAATGTGCTGCTAAACAGTTGATGCTCATCTAATTGTTGAATTCATTACAATATGTCTGCTGCTAAAACATCTGAAGCTGCATCACTATTCTAAAACTGTACTCATAACCCTGAACTACACATGATAACATCTACTAATAACAAGCTCGCAAAAGTATATCTATTTACTTCTAATTTATCAAATGAATTATTAACAAAGGTGCATCCCTGATGATCCTTCCATTAACGATTTTTTTATGTTTTTAATATTTGAACCATAACTGTCCCACTAAGAGTAAAGGTAATAAACTAGAGATCATCAAAAAGTAAATAACAAGTTTATTAAATTGCTGTGGTTATTTGTTGCTGTTGTTGTAGGGTTCAAGCAAACTGGCAGCTTGCCCTTTTTTTTTTTTTTTTCAAAACAGTTGCTAGGCAGGCTAGTTCAAAAAGCAAGTCATTGGTAAACAATGAGCTAGAGCTCACATAAAGGGATATGGGAAAAACTAACTAATAATAATCATAATTCACAGACATTGTGCAAGCTAAAATACTAACTGAATAGTTTCAACTTACACTGGTGGGCATTGTCTTCTGAAGCAGGACTTCTCTCGGCCGTTTGGTTTTGGGGACCATGCACAGCGACTGTCTAAAACCTGGTTGCCTGTTAGTTGATCTCGGCAGCGATACTGGTAGGTTTGTATTCCTGCTCAAGTACACGATTTATATTTTACATTATCTCACACAATTATAATGTTAATAAAACATTATGTTATTCATGTGGTGAAACAAATTTACGGCCATTTAAAAAATAAAATATTGTTATTTATAATCAGTCTTGTTAAAAGAATTATGTTGGGGGTACATGTTTCCTGTCAGAGATATCAAAATCATCATGTGCGCTGCCATTGGCGTAGGCGCTCATGCATCTCCACAGATCACAATCTCTGGTTGAATGGAACAGCTCCATTGATGATATCCCTCCATGCCATCGTTTCAGTCCATCCAGCATCATCTCTCTTGGTCTGCCTCTATTTCTTTCCACTGATCTTTCCAGTGGAAGGAGGGGCAGAGGCCGACCGACACGAAGATGGGCACAGGATATAAGTGACTCATTGAGTGTGAAAGTTCATGAGGTGGGGGAACTGGCAAAAGACCGAGTTTCTTACAGGCAGACTGTGATGAGAGCGACGTTCTGCAAAGGACCTTCTATATGATGATGATGATAATCTTTCCAGTTGTCATGATGTTATCCAGTGCCCTACTTCTCATTACATGGCCAAAGAACAGTGTTTGTCTCTTTCTTATCATTGTATGTAGAGATCTACTTTCATTAGCTTCTTTCAAACAATCGTTGTTATTTACTCTGGCCGTCCAAGATATTCGTAACATTTGTCTCAGAAACCAAATTTAGGTTGCTTCCAAATTATTCTTAATTTGTTCATTGACATTCCAAGTTTCGCTGCCATACAGCAGAACAGGTTCTATGTAACATTTTAGCACTCTTTTTCTGACAATAAATGAGAGCGACTTATTGCATAAGACATTTATCATTTTCTGACATGCTGCCTTCGCTTGACCTATTCTGCTTTTAATCTCTGTCACACGTGTAAGAGGAGATGTATAAGAAATGTGGCAGGGAAAAACAAGAAGAGAACAAATTACTACCAGCGATTACTGAAAACATTCTTGAAATATGAACGTTATGGGGCCCTGGAGATGTATAAATATTAGAAGATATTGTAATTCCCGCACGCACGCATGCACGCGCACACACGCACACAACCCTAATAAAACAGAGAGGTTGTAGAGATACCAGGAATAAAAAAACAAGCTGATAAAACAAATTGAAACATAAAATATTTAACTATCATGAAAAGTAAAATGGGAGCAAAAGTTGACAGAAGAGCAAGAGGTAGGCATCAATACAAGCTGCAATATAAAATAAAAACGGATGAACAGCAGCAGTCTGTGAGTGTGTAAATGCAAACTAGAGTGAGACAGGTAATACTGGAAATTGATTGCAGCCTTTCTTCATTATGCTGACAGGAGTGGATTGACTTGTTGAATATATCAGACGCAACATTACATCCACAGGAAAGATTAATGTCCTTCAGAATAGTTTCTCTAATGTTGCTGGTGTTGTGCTGTGTAAAGTTCAGCATAATACATTTTTGAGAGAACAATCAGTAAGTTTAGTAAACAAGTAACAAGTTTTGTAAACAAGGTGATGTCTGTGCTAACCTGATGCCTATCTTATCCAGGCACCAACCTGTTTATTTAAAACAATGTGATAAATTTGTATACAAACAATTTATACGTAACATTCTTTCACGCTAAAAACATTCAACACATATTGAATGTGAAAAAGATTTGTTTAGATCAAATATTTAAATGCCCTGAAATATAAACATAAATGCACAAGCTCTGCCCATAGATAGATACCAAGTAAAAATAGATGTCATTCCTCTTTCATCCCCAAGCAAGGAGGCCTGTAGCCAGTGGCTCATGTATGCGCCAGACTTCCGCTCTATCAGATAACTTCGAATCGTAGATCAGGGCTCTTCATCGGTTTTTTTAGAACCGTGAGGATCCGTTTCTTCGCCACCGTGAAACTGGCTGCCGTAACCTGACCTTTAAGGATTGACAAACTTCTTGATTTCTGCGGTTTGAATTGCATTCCACACCATTTGACAACGCGGTTCAACCTCTTCAGAACCGTGAGAGTATCATCCTCACTGCCTGTTAGGATAGTTGTGTCATCCATAAATACACCCAGTGGCGGCATCCAGTGGTCCCCAATTTGAAGGCCTCACCCGTAGCCAACAGCCCCGTCTAACATGACCTGCATGGCCATTACGAAAAGTATTGACGAAATCGTACATCCCATTGCTTTCCCAACCCGGTGTTCAGTTCATCTGCTTGTAAACGTCAAGTAGAAAAGCGTATGGCGAACTTTGAGAAATATTGCTCGATCATGTCGGTGATCTGTGTCGGTACGTGGAACATGCGAAGGACCTGCCACAATAGCTTATGCACCTCACCCCCCCCCCCCCCCCCCCCCCCACCGGTCTCCCAATAGGCGTTGGCAAGGTCCAGCTATAACACGCGCAACTGGGTTCTTTCTGCTTTAGCTCTATGAAAACTCTCCCAGATCATGGTCGCGTGCTAAAGGCAAACAGAACGCCCGGGATTCCACCTTTCTGAACCGTCGTATCAATATATTTGTTCGCTATCAAATACTGTGTGGGCCTGCGTGCCATAACTGAGAAGAATATCTTGCCGTCACCGTTCAACAACGAGATAGGTCTGAATAAGGACATATTGGAGGTGTCTCTCTCATTGGGAATGTAGACTGCGTTGGCTCTATGTCACTGAGTACATATGAGCTTTCGGCTTCACGCTAATCTTAGAAAGCGGTGAAGATTTGCCGCTGGCTCTCTTCACAACCTCTTCGACCTCATACCAAAAGAGAGGCATCGTTTTAAATGGTACCTTCGGCAACTCTGGCCGCTGGTGAAGTGATCTCGCTGTAGTCATCGAAAGGTTCATTCCTTGCCCTATTTGCCCAAGACGCCCGAAGGTGTGGAAAAGCTTTACTTTATTAATGCATTTAACAATTTCATAATACTTTAGAAGGAAACAATTTCTTGGTAGACGGTATAGTTTTAAGAACGTTCTGGTAGAGTCTCTCTATGGAGGACAAAGGGAATTCCAAATATAATATTCCCAAAGAAAGTAATGTTCAGTGGGTGCAGTCTAGTCGATCTTGATTGTTAAAACAGTCATCATCATCATCATCATCATCAGTTCTTTAGGGTGATATCATCACTTTCAACCAGCATTCTTAAAGGGGCAGCTTTAGGTTATAATTGTGCCTAGATTATGTGCGCCCTAAAAAATTTCTTATCATTTGACGCCACCAAAAGTCATAAATAGGCTCATGCAGTGTTGATGCGATCAAATGAGACAGACCCAAATACTATCCCAACTGGCGAAGAAGTCGTCTATCGGCGACCCAATAGGGACCCCGTCGCCAAAGTAGTAGTTGTAATAGTATAAATAAATGAATATATATATATATATATATATATATATATATATATATATATATATATATATATATATATATATATATATGTGTGTCACATAAAAACATAAATATTCTAAACGAGTTGAACATCAAGGAGAACTGGCTCATTTACAGCATCCTATCCCGAAAGTTGAAGTATTTTGGCCACATCAAGCGCCATGGTGGCTTGGAAAAGACGGTGATGGAGGGTGCAGTTTGTAGAAGGGGAGGCAGGGGTCGACCACTGCGATGATGGATACAGGACATTGAAGAAGCATTGGCATTGAAAGCATATGGGGCTGGAGAGCTGGCTAAGGAAAGGGATACTTTCAAGAGAGCGATGTTCGGTAAAGGACTAGTTAACTGATGATGATATGTTACATTTACCTATCCATTCCGGTGTTTGTTCTTAAGTGCATGCCTTAACAAGTCAAAAAAGAGGACCGAATGAAGATTTACCTACACCGCATGAAGCGGAACAGGGGGACAAGCCGATCTCGATCCACTGGTAGCGTCTGCTGGTACCGTTGTTCAAGCACGAATTGTTGCCTCCACATACTCCACATAGGTCAAGGGTGAGTGGGGAATCTAGCTGATGGTCGCACCCGACAGTCTGGAATTTACAAAGGAACACAATGATACTATTTGGAAATTAACTCCAGTCATTAACTCGTAGTAAAGCTACTTTATAAACTGTTACTTTCTTTACACACACACACACACACACACACACACACACACACACACATATATATATATATATATATATATATATATATATATATATATATATATATATATATATATATATAAAGGAAATACGAAAAATAAGAGGCTAAATTTAGCACTCTCTTTCTTTATTCAAAATCTTTATTTATTCTCATCCCATTGTGCAGCTACATTCATACATACATACAAAAACACGCATACAAACAGAATAATGTTTGTATTTCTTCTATATTAAAGCAACCTCTAAATTGTTTGACTATAACTGTATGTATAAGTGTGTTTGTGCGTATGTATGTGGATACGAGTAATTCCAACTGAATGCTTAGTCCCTAATCTGTCACTTGCCTACAGTTTTTACATCTGTCTAACAGCAAGTAAACATAATTATATTTGGTCTTTTTGTGACCCAAAACGGAACGCAGACGATGGCACAGACCGAGCAATTGGTTGGCAATGGTGCTTGAAGATAAACTACATGATGGATATTATGACAACGCAGCATAAAGGAGGTATGCCGACAGGCGAAGGAGACACACTGAAAGACACGAACAAAAACAGAATGGTAAGATTGCTGATAAGGTATAAGGTCTCAGTGAAAAGTGCGCCTGGGCGGCAAACACATTGGTAGGACAAAGAACAGGTTCTTTCTTATCGTTAATTTGAGATAGGAAACATAAACAGTGCACCTACCCAGCACTTGCCGTTAATACACATGTCATGAGCGTTAAATTTGCAGCGTGTGCCGTCGAGAACTTTGGGTGCTAGGCGAACTACAGTTCTGTTTCCCCTTGGTATACAGTACAGCGTGCACGGGTTCTTTCGGTCAGTGTATGGCAACCAGGCATACAATTTTCCTCCATATGTGGCGTTGTCGTATGCGGCACATTGTTGCGTCCTGAAGTCCACAGAGTCAGCAGAGCAAGGCTGTAAACAGACAAGGGTACATCGTCTTCACTCTTCAGATTGACAAGCCACCATCGTTTATAATTACATTTATATAAAAGGTCATCAAAAATGTAAACACAACATAAAATTTGGCAAGAAAGCTCAATGGAGGGACGGAAATAGACGCACCAAAACAAGAAGACAAGAAGTACCAAATAAAACATATATTGTGACTGGTAAAACTAAATGGACAAGATAGCGGACTTCTTGTCCTCAGCTTGACCCCCTTTTGCGTCATCAAAAGTGTAAATCCCCCCGAATACTATAGTTCGTTCAACATCTCTTGAACACACTTGGAAGCCATTTTCTCTAAAACTATCTGTCAGATCGCAACGATTTCTTTGCATACAGTCTTAGAATATCCATGACGTTAAGGAAATATATATATTTTTTTTAACTAAAGAAGAATATTATATACAGTTTTTTTTCTTCTTTACGATATATATATATATTTGTATCATGAAACAGTCTTAGTAGACTTTTGGAAGGTTTACTTTCATTAGTTTCAGGAAGTAATGCACACAATGACTGATTTAACAGTAGGTCAAAGAAAAGCTACGTAATTTCATGATTCTCTCGTGCAAAGTCGTACCCTTAGTGACCTCGCGCCAAAATAAGACGCCGGTCGAGGTTGTTTAGTCAAAGCGCATTCATAAATTAGTGTTGAGTTATTGTGTCGTTTAGCTAGCTTTAAAAGGCTGACAGAGACATAAATTTCAAAATGAATTTGAAATGCAAATTACAAATTCATAACTATGCAGAAGGTTACCGTTTTAAGGTACTAGCATTTATATTGTGATAATCATGACTCAGAGAAACGAACACGATTGGCACTTGGTCTGGATAGTCCATCATTTAACCGTTTGATTAGACTGGACACAGGGTACACTCATGTCAAGCAAGGAAGAAAAAGGTAGGTTGACGACTTTGATGTAGATGTCATTAGATGTGAGATCTTAACCGTGTTAGACACAAATCAGCTTTTCATTCTCCGAAACTTACATTAACATTGAAATCACAATGCAGTATAGACATTTCAAAAACTAGTCTGTAGAAATTGTAAGAGCCACCGGGTTCACTTTCAGGAAAACTGTAAGTAGAAGGAATATTATTTGGGAAAAGCCACATTTGATTGCAATACTAAGTAAATACCTAAGGCAGATCCGTGAGCGACGGATGCAAGGTAATGATATTGTATATTTGAATGAATCCTGAGTTAATGTTCATCATATCTATGTTAAAGAATTGCAATCAGTAAACGGTGAACAGTAAAGAAACATTCCAAGCATCAAAGGCCTGTACATTATACTCACTTATACAGGATGCGGTGCAAAGGGCCTTATCCATGATGCTTGACTTATTTTCTAATCAAAAAGTACGGATGGTAGTGACTACCACACTGAAATTAATAGACACATTTTCAGGCATGGATGGAGAATGATCTTCTTCCAATTTTGGACAGACCATCGTGCCTAGTAATTGATAATGCCGCCTATCATATTGCCGTATCAAAAGAAGACAAAGTACCAACGACATCAAATGCAAAAGATCAAATTGGGACATGGGAAAAAGTCAACTTTGACGACACCTATTTGAAGGCAGAGTTGTTGCAGCTTGCGAGAAAAACAAATAAGACAAAGGTGAATCACACTGACAAAGTCATTAATGAATACGACCACATTTCTCGGCGACTCCCTGCATATCATTCACACCTCAACCCGATAGAGCTTGTTTGGGATAAAGTAAAGTGGCCGAAAAACAGTACATTTAACATATGTGATGCTGAAGTTCTGACACATGAGTCCTTCTCAACAAAAGACATTCATTACTGGAAAAAGTATGGTGAACATGTGCTCCGAGAGGAAGACGAGTACTGGCACCGAGATAGATTACAATTTGCTCAGCCAGAAAAAAATTATCAACCTTTTTGGATCGTCAGATTCGGAATAATAAAACTATGTTTTAAATAAGTGGTTGAATATCATCAATCTGTTAGGTACATCTACATTTGCTACAAATACATCCCCATATCTAAATCTGCTGTGCAGTTATGAAACACCGTGAAGTCTAATTTGTGACTGAAGGGGAATACTAACTGTTGCACACAGAGGACATATTTACATGTAAACAAGGCAGATAGATTGACTGGATCTGCACCACAGGGCGGTCAGTTTATTATTGACGAGGCAGGTGTGGTTAAGACCCTTTGGTAACAAGTAATAAAGTTATAACAGAAAATAGATTATCATAGCCTGGAGAGAATGATACATCTGGGTGTGTCCAGAAGGCCTGGTCGGCACACTACACTCAGAGGAATGTCAAGACGGACATATAATCATACTGCTTTCGGTACTATTAGTATTGGAACTCTGCGCTGGCTGCTGAAGATGGGGATGGAGCGCATATAGCAATGCCCCGAGTGCTGTGATGTTTTTCCTGACTCAGCTCAACTCAGCTCAGTTGTACCATAAATGACAAGAAAAAAATTTACTTCACCTATCAATGTATTATAAAGACACGCCTCTGACAAAAATTTTTTTACCGGAAATTCAGATTTTTACTGTAAAATATAAAAGTTAACTCCATTTATTTACTATGGTTCGAAAAGATCAAAGAAATTGGCTGGTATTCAGCATTCTAAGCATCTATGGACTAAAGAATACCACAAGGATATTCTAAGGCTGTGTACAAAAATCGTTGCGATCTAACAGGCAGTTTTTGAGAAAATGGCTTGCAAGTGTGTTCATGAGATGTTGAACAAACTATAACAAGTACCTTTACCCCATCTATAATATCATAACGTGTAATAACTTTTTTGTTGTTGAAGAAAATTAGGATGTAGCAAGGAAATAACCATTTTCACGCCTGTGGCGCATCAGCCATAAAGTACTAGACCTATACATTTTATAGAAATATCGACAATCGGTGGGTGATGTAGCCAATATTCCGCCAACCGCCTTTACTTTTCAGGACATTATCTGGTGCCCATTTTAGGCTAGGTTGACCTGGAAGCTAAGGTCAGTTTTAAAACAATATAAAAAATCCATAACCTTACGGAGGATTTGAACACTGGTTTCCCACATGAGAGCCAAGTGCTTTTACCGTTCGACCTGCTGCTAAAGTGTCTTCTTCTTCTGCTGTCAGAAAACTTATTTCAGGTGGCTGGTGGCCTTTATAAGAGCTATCGCGCAGTCCGTGTCTTCTCGTGTACCATACAGCTTTGTCTTCATTGTGGTTAGAACAGGCCAGACTGCGTCTCTGTTGTCAGCATACAGTTGACAGTGTTGGAGCACATGCTCAGCATTTTCGGGTGCCAAGTTGTAGTGGCACGTCTCAGTGTTTCCTACACAGACAATTTTGAACATATGTTGACGAATTCTGTTGTGTTGCTCTTCACAGACCCTTTATCAGAGCTGCTGGTGCAAGTCGGTGCTTGTTGACTGGCCTGTGTTCTAGAGTGTAATTACTTTTATATTTGTAAAAGTCACTCCATGATCTGTTGTGCAGTATACAACTTCGCTATGACGAGAATAGCGATCTGTCGTGCCGATAGAACTTCGATATGACGAAAATAGCGATCTGTCCGGCAGTATATCACTTCGATATGACGAAAATAGCGATCTGTCCGGCAGTATACCACTTCGCTATGACGAGAATAGCAATCTGTCGTGCAGTATACCACTTCGCGGCTATCCTCCGAATAAGGGGCACAAAAGATGGCAGCCAATAACAGGGCCTCAGTCACGTGTCAGTTGCGCACTTCCGGCGACCTAATTTGCGGTTTTCTGAAGAAAAAGAAGAAGAAGAGGAAGAAGAAGAAAAAGATAATGAAGAAGAAAGGAGGAGGAAGAGGAAGAAAAAGAGGAAGAAGAAAAAGAAGAAGAAGAAGAAGAAGAAGAAGAAGAAGAAGAAGAAGAAGAAGAAGAAGAAGAAGAAGAAGAAGAAGAAGAAGAAGAAGAAGAAGAAGAAGAAGAAGAAGAAGAAGAAGAAGAAATTCGCCCAATTCTGATTTTATTTAAGATTTTTGGCTGGCAGCGAGCATCTGGCCACTACAAACCCAGTAGTTAGTCAATACTTTGAAAAATAAACCAAATTAACAAATACAAGAACCCAGGAAATGACTTACATCATTGTTGCACGTGGTATATCTAAATCTTTCTCCCTCGCAGCCTTCCGCCGAGTCAAAACTCCGAACACACTTCCGCTCTTGATAGGTGGCACCTCCGTCGCAAGTCCGAGAACATTCACTCCAAGAAGACCAGTCGCTCCAATGGTCACCGTCCACGCCTGCTACAGTCTGTGGAAGACCAAGATGGTTACAGTCATGACAAATCAGGTTGCGCTTTGTTATTATTATTATTATTATCATCATCATTATTAATATTTTTTAAGTGTATCATTATAAAAACAGAAAAATAACGAAATAAAACAAAAGCTCAATTGCAGAAGCGTTTACACTCATACAAACACACACCAGCAAACGCACACATACCCACACTCACACGAATATCGGGTGAGCTGGCTCAGCCATCTTAAAAATGTTCTGGAGGAGGGTGCTCATGGGCATATGCCTTGTTTAAGTTGATAATGATGATAGTACTACTTATTGTCAAAAGTAAAAAATAAAGGTCCCTTTTCCGCGCCTTTATGAGTATTGGGCGTATAGGATTAGACCTATTTTTTATTGACCAATCGGCACTAGGTGGGTGATGTTGTCAGCATCACGCCGGCGGCCTTTAGTTCCCAGGACTGCACCTGGTACCCACTCAAGGCTGGGTCGACTTAGGAGTCAAGGTCATTTTTGACAAAAATCTGTCTCTGTCAGGACACGAACCCCCGACCTTCTGATCCGCAGGCGGGCATCTAGCCGCTAACGCTACCAGTGACTCTTGCTGCCTTTTGTAATAATACACAAATAGTGCTTTTGTGGTTGTTGTTGTATTTGTTGTTGTTGTTGTTGTTGTTGTAGTGCTACCTGTTGTAATAATATAACCATAATTAGCCTAACACCCCCTCCCCTTTTTACCCTCCTTGTCCCCTCCCTGAGCTTGCGGGGGAGTCGAGGTAGTGTAGCCTAGACGCTCGCATGTGGATTAGCAGCTCGTGAGTTCAAATCAGAACGGAGCTGGATTGTTTTCAAAAAATGATTTAGCTCAAAGGCTGACCCAGTCTTAAAGGGTACCAGGTAAAGCCCTTGGAAGTAAAAGCGGCCGGCGTGATGTTCACCACATCACCCAACGAATGTTGATTGATCCATAAACTATAGATTAACACTATATGCCCAAGACAACCGGGAAGGCTAACCCGGTCAACAAATGCCTGCAGAAGACGGATGTGTCGGCTGAAAGTCCATGCTGTAGACGAGCACAACGCAGTTACATCTTCGAATAAACGCAGAGGAAGCTATGCTCAATGCACCAGAATGCGCAGAAAAGGGTTCTTTACATGCCTCAGGTTCCTGAACTAGCTGAAATCCAAAAGTCTTACTTTAAGTAACACATGGTCTGATATAAGTTTAGTTAATGTCTGCCTAGGACAAACCCCTGATGACGCTAATGTGCTATGATTGGAACCCGCTCATATCTAAGACAAACAATGCCTGCAGAAGACGGATGTATCAGCCAAATGTCCATGCTGTAAACGAGCACAACGCAGTAACGTCTTCGGATAAACGCAGAAGAACTTTGAAGAAGTAGTAGTATTTTCAACAACAACATGGTGCTGTTCAACCCATCTAGGTTATGATCCGGATTTATGGAGTTTTTGTATTGTTTTTTATTTTTTATTTTAATTTTACTTTGATGCTAGGTATTTCTGCTTGTCAAGTACTTTAAGTTATTTCATTTTTCACAGATTGTCAATGACTTATACCGTAGATTACTCCGATATGCGGAAGCTTCCGCGATCAGCCGGTTGAAACCAGAACTCTGTAGTCAGAAAGAAATGGTCGTTACCTTACGGTTACCTTGATGAAACAGGCAGTTTAGAATGTACTCGAATTTGTGTTTCAGTTTCTAGGATTCAGCTATTTGCTTCATTTTAATCAATTGTTACTGTAGTATGCACCTGACGAGATACAGCGAAATATGCCAAGCATTAAATTGTGAAGTCTATTGTTTGTGTCTTCTTTGTTCAAATTCACATTGGGAAACACTGCTATGACTTATACGTTTGGTAAATTTTAAGAATAATTTTGATAATCATTCTGTTTAATTTATCTATGGGAATGTTTGAAGCGATTTTTTGATATATTAAACCTGTCTTACAATATATATGATAACTTTTATTCTTGTGATGTATTGTTTAATGCTACTTTATTCTTTAAAGTACGGAAAAATCAAAACAATAAAACTTGAACAGACAGAATGAGTAATTTCAAGAGTTCATTCGTTCATATTAAACCAGTTGGAGAGATGAATTCATAGAGATACAAACAAGAAATTCCATGAATATTTGAAACGTTATTGTTCTTAAAATATTTGTTTAAATTACTGCAAGATATGTTTCAAAGCAACTCCCCCCCCCCCCCCCCAATACCTTATTTTTTTTTTGTTTTTTTTTTTTGTTGTTGCTATATATTCAAAACGTTTTCATGGATGGCACAATGTGTTTCATTTTTTACTGACACTCTTACATTATCACCAAGGCTGTCTTTGCGGGGTGTAACTTTTATCTCCCTGCTGACTTGAACTAAATGGAATATGTGCTTCTGTGGTAATGCGAAAATTAACTCCGGTTAGAGAACGTGACAAGATGTCCCATAACTTGCATTTTTAGATATTTTAACCCGAAGAGCGATACTGATTCTGATCTCCATTTATAAGATAAACTTCATGATAAAAGCGTCATAGACAAACAGATGAAATGTCACGACAAAACAGGGAGGTGTTATAATTGCACCGGCGTTGATAAAAATCTATTTGATTTAAATGCATGATTTCTTATATTGGAAGGCAGTTGTCGACAAACATACATTTTTCACGGGGAGGTACGGTTAGAATGTTGTATTAGTTTTTCACCAGCGTGGCAAATAGGCTGCACACTGGAACCAGAGACCTTCGTGCATGTACAGCAATGCTTTCAAAGACGAGAGTTAACATTTATCTTCATATTCAATGTCAATATGGCCCTTTTCTTGTATTCAGTTTCTGAGATTATGCACGATTAGGGGTGTCTTTTATTCACGGCGTGGCTAACGAAATTAAAGTGTTGTGTTTGACGCAATTTACATGTCTGCTTTTATTCCCCCTTTTTTCTCTTGTTTTTATGTGTATTTGCCTGGTCGGGTTCTATTTTATTCTGACGCTGAGATGTTACACGACTAGAGTGTGTGTGTGTGTTTTTTTTAACCCTGTTGTTAACAAAGCTACGTATTCTGTGAGTCGCAATTTTCATGTCTTCTGTTTCATGTCTCTTGTTTTTACGTCTGTTTGTTAGCATTTCTAACCCAGAGAGAGAGAGAGAGAGAGAGAGAGAGAGAGAGAGAGAGAGAGAGAGAGACAGACAGACAGACAGACAGACAGACAGACAGACAGACAGACAGACAGACAGACAGACAGACAGACAGACAGACAGACAGACAGACAGACAGACAGACAGACAGACAGACAGACAGACAGACAGACAGACAGACAGACAGACAGACAGACAGACAGACAGATCTAATGGTGCGTTCGAGAGAGTATACTATACTATACTTAAGAGAGATAGGAAGTTAGAGAAAATAGTGACAGAGTATAGTGCATGAGAGGCAAAGAGAGACAGAGATAGCAAGGCAGACTAACAGAGAAAATAGTGTGCGAGATTGTAGTGTGTGAGAAAAAGAGAAATATAAGGTAGTTGTCAGGGAATATACACTGCACTGCTGTGTGTATGTGTGTGTGTGTGTTTCAGAGCATACGTGTAACTAATATTTGTGTGTGTGTGTGTGTGTGTGTATATATTGATTGGCAGTCCTAGAAAGGAGTAAAGAGATGGTGGCTACTGCTCTCCCCCCCCCCCTAACCCCCTTTTTTCCAGCAGAGACAAAACTACATTTAAGACTAGTTAGCGCCCGGCTCGCTAGCGCAGTTGGCTAAACCGGATTGCGCGGTGACCGGGTGACGAACTCCTTGTGGTACGGGTTCACTCCCGTGGTAGGCAGAAAAGCCACATTTCTCCCAGATTTACATTATTTACAATGGAATAAATGCGGAAAGGTTGCGATATCCATAATACCGAGCCTGAGGGTTAACAACTCATGGCTTCTGGATACTAAAACAAACAACACGAGTTAGCAATCTCGTAGCCTTACTTGCTCAAGCGTACCTCACCTTCATGTGGTGACCCTAATCTCCCCAGAAATTCAGTGGGAGGTTAGTTTTTCAACCCCTAGTGGAGAAACTAGATGGGAGAGCAAACGAAGTAAAGTCGAAATCCGGCTCTGTCGACCAGCTACTGAGTTAAATGCGTGGTACGACACTGTGAGCAAGGAATTAAATAAGGAATGCTTTTTGTCTGTGTTGTAAACTGTATAGTTGGAATAAGGGGAGTGGCTGGTTGCCACATAATTGACGGCGTGCTTTGTGCAGTAATCCATGTGCACTTGCTGGTTTTTCATGACTGTTACTTCAATTAACTAACTTTAATTAACTTCAAAATACAATTACAGTGTCAGACTGTAGGTGACTGCCTTGTGTATTTGATGCGTGTGCCAACTGTTGGATTTTGCCAGCACTTTTATTTCACACGGTGACGGCGATAGGCATTTTGTGTGTTTTCCACGGCACGGGAAAGAAGCAAATAAGGGGTGGCCCGTTTTCGATGAAAATGAAACCCCAACTTATAGTCTGATAGGCGGTGTTGTTAATTTCACACCCGGGGATCAAAATATTCGGGGGTGATAAACGGAAATCTTATAGAAGGTCTCCTATCTCCTGATATCATCCCGTAGCCAGTCATAAAGTTATTATGTGATTGGTATAGCGACTAGTGGGCCACAAAACTGATTCCCGCGAACAGCGTTGACAAATCTAGCACGTATCACAAGTCCTCATGGGAGCCGATCCTCGTCGTTCTGGTCATCAGCGAGGAGTGGTGCCCCATTATCTTCGACATCACAGACACTCTAGTCCAGCGGTTCTCAACCTGACGGTCGCGACCTTTTTTTGTGTGTGGGGGGTAGAACGGCCCTTTCACGGGGTTCGCCTGAGACCATCGGAAAATACAGATTCATTGAAGTTATAAAGGAAAATAATTGTTCCGGGGTCGACACAACATGAGGGAACTGTATTAAAGGGTCGCGGCATTAGGAAGGCA